CTGGGTTTCTTAGCAGAATGCGACTAAAACTTGGCCTAAAAATCAAAAGAACGGCGCCCAGAGGCAGAGGAAAACCAGCTCGCTCCTCATTTCAGGCTGCAGCTGCAGTCCCACCCTCCGCTACACAATATTTATCCGAATGAATTAGTAAAAACGCCCCAGGGCTCCAGATCTGCTGTGCTGATTATTTGCTGCTGCGTTCAGGATTAGAAAAAAACCACGGCAGCTATTAGAGAAACAGTGACCTGGTTCTGAGTTGGAGGCATCTCAAAGACACAAAATCAGAGCTTTGATGTAATCAGAGGCAATTAGAAATTATATTTTGTGTTCATTTCAGTGCTCAGGAGCAAACAAATGTCCACCTGCTCTGAAGGTTGAAGGGAAACAGGTTTAAGGAAGAAGCGTCTGAGTTTCTGATTCTCAAAATGGAGAAAATGAAACTAAAATTACCAACATTTTTGGGCCAGACAGGAAGATCCCAGTTTAGACAGAGCTGCTTCTCTTTTTTTATACCAAGACATAGAGGGCAGCAACCTAGACAGCAAGAGAGTTGCTGGTTTGAATCCCATCCAGGGCCCTCGTAGGTGGAGTTTGCATGTTCTCTCCAGACTCTCTGGCTTCCTCCCACCATCCTAAAACATGCATGTTAGGCTAATTAGTGGCTCTAAATAGTCTGTGAAGTCTTTCCCAACGACAGCAGGAGGTGGATGAGCGTCAAACAAGCTGTTTCCCTTTGCTTTTTAAGCCCTTTTCAACATTTTTAACGTGATTTGGTGCAAAAAAATTCAAGCCAAGCTCAGAATTAGTTTTTATAAAACAGTAAAATGTCTGTATTTTAAATAGAAAAGGGCTCATACGAGTTGTTTCCCACAGTTTGCAGAAATATGAATATCGGTTATGAAGAAAAGTTAGTAATTTACACAGCTTCATGTCTAATTTTTCGCATTTTTAAACCTAATTCTGCATCGTTTTAGCTCCAGTGGGAGCTTTTTAAAGATCTTTTCTTATGATAATGGATTCTGGTCTTACAGCCAAGAAATAATGTTAGAAAAACTTTGATTTTGCTCTGACTTTTTAACCGAATTTGGTCTGCTTTCATCCTCTACTGGCATGTTTGACTCGTAGTACTCTGGGTTGTTCTGAACTCTGGAGGAGTAACATCTTGGTTTTGACTTATCGCACAGCCCACACGCGCAGCTTTGGTGTCGGGATGACTCACAAAGGTTGGCAGAACTGTCACTTCAGAGCCCAAATATGATTAAAAAACCAGCGTTAGTCAGCAAATAAATGAGTCAGGAAACAAAACCAGCCAAGAGACAGATAAGCGAAAGAACAAACGTGGGCCTTTTCTCTTTCTACTCGATGGAGAAAAAGTCTCTGACAGCCGTCAGCCGGCAGTGGTGAGAGACGGAGGTGGGAGTTTGGAGGAGGGATGAGAACGTATCAGACTCCACAATCTGCTGTGGTGTAAATATTTTTACTCTGACCAGAATCAGTTGGATCTCTGGTTCACTGAAGGGCTGGACGGCTTGTTTCAGAGCACTTTTCCCTGTCAGGGTTTCAAGTTATCTCCAGATCAAAGTGGAGGTTCTCGCCTTAACCCTTTAAAGCCCGATCCAAGAAAAATAAGAAGAATATTGGGTTTTTTTTTGTCTGAAGTCTTTCTTTGGCCCCTCAACAACATATGAAGAAAAAAAACTAAAATTATTTTGATCAAATTAGCATGCAATGAGTCAAAAATGTATTTTGGTGAAGTCTTCTACTGGCTGTTATCAGGTTTATCTATCAGGTTTTTTACAGGTCCAGCACAGGTAAGTGGATTCAACAGGTAAGTTTTTACAGGAGTCCCAGGTAAGTAAAATCAGGTTAAAAAGGAGTCAGCTCCTTATGTTAAAATGTCTTTAAAATCTTTTCTGTGTATTAAAATACAACAATAAAAGATTAAAGCAGACATAGTAATTGGCATTATAGGGTTTTAATCACTGCTACATTGAACGCTTTTCCTTTCTAGGTAGTTTTTTTCCAGTAAAACCTAAACAAAAGAGCAGGTTTTGGTGATTCGTGTTGGTGTGTTTGTGCCTTTCCCTCCTTTGTCTCAAAGGTCTGTAAGTGGACTTTGCCACACCAGCTGCAGCCGTTTGCTTTTGGCTTTAGACGTGAGCTCCGGGGGATCGTTTTCCGGTGAAGAGCTGCTTTTAGGGGCAGAGGATTCAGTGGCAGGATCTGACAGGACGAAGGGTTTTCCAAGATGTCCGAATGGGAAGTAAGTCAAAAGAAGGAGGGACGGCTTTAGGAGAAAAGACTGGCTTGAGCAGGAAGTTTGTTAGCCTTAAATTTTCCTTATCTTGGAGAAAAAAAGGAAAAATATAAATTCCAAACCCATTTTAATGCAATCTTTGTGAATAAAAGGCAAAAATCTTTAATATATAGACACCTCCAGTCTCTAGTCCTGTGGCTTTTGTTATATTTGCATGCAGAAAATACACAATATTATTGATATAAACTAAGCAATCGGAGGCCCTCAAGCATGAGCCGACCATCATAATTCATGTAAATGAACCAGAACATTGATCCAGCGCTGTGGTGATTACATCTAAAGGGCAACAACTCCTTATATATTTGCTGGGAGGCATCAGGGGCTCCATAAAACCGTCAGTAAGGCACATAAAACTCATTAAGTGGTCACACAAACCTCTAAATCAGACGGGAATGAGCCCAGGTGATTCTGGCTCAGGACTGAGTCGCTTTATCACTCAGAAGGTCTCAGTATAGCTGAGTAATGGAAATTAAGCCGTGTTATTGTTTCTTATTAAGATAAGATAAGATAAGATAAGAGCTTTATTGATCTCACAGTGGAGAAATTCACTGGTCACATATCGGTTAGGGTACAAAAGGAGGAAAAGGTGCATAAAGTACATCAAAAGCAAGCAAATATACAAAGAAAGAAACACAGCGTAGAGATTTGGGTGATTAAAATATATACAATCATTGAGGGCTCACACACAGTACACATATTATACAGGTCAATAAATATAACACAATTGCACAGCAGTTGTTAAAGTGCAGAGTTGTACAGTCTGGTAGCAGCAGGAATAAAAGACCTGCGGTATCGCTCTTTTTTGCACACAGGGTGTCGGAGTCTTTTACTAAAGGAGCTGCTCAGCTCCTCTACAGTCCGATGCAGGGGGTGAGAGGTGTTGTCCATGATAGATCTCAGTTTGGACAACACTCTCCTCTCAGCCACTTCCTCCACTGAGTCCAGAGGGCAGCCCAGGACAGAAGTGGCCTTCCTCACCAGCTTATTCAGCCTCTTCCTGTCCCGCTCTGTGCTGCCAGGGGCCCAGCAGACGACAGCGTAGAGGAGGGCTGAGGCCACTACAGAGTCGTAAAAGCTCTGAAGGAGGGACCTGCTGACTCCAAAGGCCCTCAGCCTCCTCAGGAGGTGAAGGCGGCTCTGACCCTTTTTATACAGGGCGTCGGTGTTGTGAGTCCAGTCCAGTTTGTTGTTCACGTGAACACCCAGGTATTTGAAACTTTGTACAGTTTCTATGTCCTGCCCCTGGATGTTCACTGGGGGGTGGAGTGGTGGTCTTCTCCTAAAGTCGATCACCATCTCTTTGGTCTTATTGGTGTTCAGACACAGATGGTTTTTCGAACACCAATTTACAAAGTCCATGATTACCGACCGGTACTCTAGCTCGTTCCCCTCAGACACACAGCCCACAATCGCCGAGTCATCGGAGAACTTCTGGAGGTGACAGCTGTCCGTGTTGTAGGTGAAGTCTGAGGTGTAGATGGTAAACAGAAACGGAGACAGGACTGTGCCCTGGGGGGCCCCTGTACTGCAGAGTACCACCTCTGACTGGCAGCCATGCAGCCGCACGTGCTGAGGACGGTCAGTGAGGTAGTCAATGGTCCAGTCAACCAGTTGTTTGTCTACCCCAGCGTCCTCCAGCTTCCCCCTCAGCAGCACCGGTCTGATGGTGTTGAAAGCGCTTGAGAAGTCAAAGAACATGACTCTCACAGCGCTCCCGGTAGTCTCCAAGTGGGTGAGCGCTCGCTGCAGCAGGTAGATGATGGCATCCTCTACTCCGATGTTGGGCCGGTAGGCAAACTGCAGCGGGTCCAGGGTGGGGCTCACCACGGTGCGAAGGTGGGCGAGGACGAGGCGCTCCATGGTCTTCATCAGCTGAGAGGTCAGGGTGACAGGTCTGAAGTGGGCCGGTTCCCTGGCATGTGGCGTTTTGGGAACCGGTACCACACAGGAGGTCTTCCACAGGGTGGGGACCACCCCCAGGCTGAGGCTCAGGTTGTATATGTAGCTGAGGACCTGACAGAGCTCATCTGCACAGGTCTTCAGCAGCCTTGGGGGGATGCCGTCTGGTCCTGAGGCTTTCCTCTGTTTCAGCCTTATCAGCTGCCCTCTCACCTGCCTTGGTGTTACTATCAGGGGGGAGGAAGGCCCGACTGAAGGTGTGGATGGATCAGGGGTTGGTGGGAGTGGCGGCGGTGGGGAGCGTAGTTCCCTGGGGGGCTGGGGGTTGAAGGGGTGTGGAGAGTTGAGGGCAGTGTGAGGGGAGTCAAACCGCGTGAAGAAGCTGTTTAACTCATTCGCAAACGTGGTGTCACCGTCTGCAGTCCTGCTGGTTCTCTCACCAAAGCCTGAGATGTTTTTCAAACTTCTCCACACATCTCTGACGTTGTTCTGCGCCAGCTGCTCCTCCATCTTTCTCCCATAGTTCTTCTTTGCAGCTCTGATCCTCCATTGGAGCTCCTGCTGAGCTCTACGCTGCCCCTCTCTGTCCCCTGAGTAGAAAGCCTGTTTCTTCTGGTTCAGGAGGACTTTCAGCTCAGGGGTCATCCAGGGGGGGTTATTTGGAAAGCATCGTAGCCGTCGTGTAGGCACAATGCTTTCCACACAGAAGGTCATGTAGTCAGTGATGCATTCAGTCAGGCTGTTGATATCCTCACCATGAGAGCTTTGAAACATGCTCCAGTCTGTGGTTCTGAAACAGTCCCTGAGCTTCTCAGTGGCATCGTCCGACCAAACTTTCACTGACTTCTTCTGTGTTATTGTCCTTCTCACCAGTGGAATGTAATGGGGGGGCAGGTAGACAAGGTTGTGATCTGAACGTCCCAGTGGGGGGAGGGGGGCGGAGGTATAGGCGTCCTTCACGTTAGCATAAAAAAGGTCCAGTGTTTTATTGTTCCTAGTTGCGCATGTGACGTATTGTGTGAGCGTGGGGAGAGTGGAGCTGAGGGAGGCATGGTTGAAATCTCCTGTGATGAGCAGGAGAGCGCGGGGGTGTTCAGTCTGTAATTTGTTTACAGCGCTGTGGATCTGCTCACATGCAACGGTGGCATCAGCTGAGGGTGCGATGTAAACGCACAGCACGATCACGTGACCAAACTCTCGCGGAAGATAATAAGGTCTTAAGCTCACTGCGAGTAATTCCACATGTGAGCTGCATATCTGCTGCTTAACGTGAACATGAGCCGCGTTGCACCATCTCTCATTCACAAACACCGCCAGCCCCCCTCCTCTCTTTTTTCCGCTCTCCGCCAAAGTTCTGTCCGCGCGGATGAGTTTAAAGCCGTCCAGGGAAACCACTGAGTCCGGGACAGACCCATCTAACCACGTCTCTGTGAAGCACATTAAACTGGCGTCTTTGAACTTCCACTGGAAACGGGTTAGCGCTGCGAGCTCCTCAGTCTTGTTGTTGAGAGATCTTACGTTTCCCATGACAACCGATGGTAGATAACCCTTTTTTCGTATCGTCCTGCCACCTCTGCAGCCTCTCCGTCTCCTCCGTATATCAGCAGGGATGTCTGGTTTCTCAGCGGGGTGGAGAGCTGGGCAGTGGCGAGTGGAGTCCCGTATTCCGAGGAGCTGGTTCCGAGTGTAAACAAACGGCCGCCCGGAGTCTCCGACATGGGGGTCACCCCTGACAGCATCAAAAGTGCCGAGAGTAGCTGGAAACTCAGCACTACAGTCCAAAAAGTTTGTTTCCTTAGTGCGCATAACTCTAGAATATCAAATATGTATTCAATAATATTAAAAAACGCCAAAAAAACACTATAGCAAATAAAAAAGAAAGAAAAATAGGAGCCGAAGTGACCGGCTGCTGTCTACGCAGCGCCATAGCAACAGGAACATCTAAAGTTTGGACACACCTTCTCATTCAAAGAGTTTTCTTTATTTTCATGACTGAAAAACATCGAAAAAGCAGAGGTGGCTACTTTTAACCCTTTAAAACCTGATCCAAGAAGAAAACAAAACAGAAAATACCAGTTTTTGGTTTGAATTCCTTTTTTGGCCTTTTAACAAAATATATAAAAAGAAAAAACATAAATACATTTTTAATATTAATAATTTATTACTATGCGATAAGTCAAGATTATTTTATGTGTAGTCTTCTGCCCCCTGTTATCAGGTATATCTGATTGTGTACAATAGGATTTTGAGCAAAGTTTTTACCATTAAATTATGCAAAAGGTGTCAGACGCAAAACATTCCAGAAACCGTGTGTATCAAATATGACACATTTGGCATTACAGGGTTAAGAACCTAGAATATAAGACGTATTTTAAATTGCATCACACCCTTTTATTAAGTATATAATTCGTCATGTGTTACTTCATATTTTCGACGCCTTCAGTGTGAATCTACAATTTTCATAGTCATGAAAATAAAAAAAACTCTTCGAATGAGAAGGTGTGTTCAAACTTTTGGTCCCTACTGTATATTTTCTGTTTTAAACTCTGTTTTTTATCTGTTTGTTTTCCTTCTTCTGGTGGCCCAAAGCCTCTGAGTCTCCGTGTATTTCCTCTTCAAAGCGTCCGTTTTGCTCCCCAGTCCTCAGATTACGAGCCGTGGCTTCCCGTTACGGAGAAATCCAACCCTCTGACCCGGGATCTGGACCGCTCTCCGGCCGGGGACGTCCTCCGGATGCTGCAGGCCTGCGATGCTGAGATGTTCCAACCGGAGACCGAAACGGCCTACCAGGTACGGCCTCCGAAAACCGGCCATTACACGGAAAAACTGGGTAACTCACTGACTGCCAGCCATTTTCAGAACAGAGAGTCCCATACTGCCAGAGTTTTTTGAGCATTTTGACTGATTTTTCAGAGCCACAGAATAGTTTGTGCTATGACTATGTAAACACCGAATGCACCAAAAGAAAGAGTAGACTCTCTTCTTTCATCGGGAAAAAAATGTTGTTTCTACCTTATAGCAGATCGTCCCCAAGCCACTCGCGTTGAAAAACATAAAAGACGTCTATAGACATCTTTGGCAGTCAACGGTTGTGTTTGAATTGATGTCTATAGACGTCTTTGGCAGCCAATGAGTTAAAAAATGCAAAAAACGCTCCTTTTTTTTAGAGGTTCTCCAGCGTGGGAGTGGTCGGAGCTTTGGTGGAGCTGGCAGAGAGGGTGCAGCTCATCCTGAAGGTATCGTCCAGCCGGGTGAGAGCAGTTAGAGCAGGTTTCTGCTCCTTTTTTGGTCAAACCGGTGTCCTTTTCTAACAGGATCCCGTGGACAGCCTCATTGTGCTGAGCGGCTGTGGCACATCCGGCCGTCTGGCTTTCCTCTTGGCGGTAAAACTCTCTTATTAACCCTATAATGCCATATGTACAGTGGGGGAAATAAGTATTTGACCCCTTGCTGATTTTGCAGGTTTGCCCACTTACAAAGAATGCTTATTTTTCCTCATCAGATGGTTATCAATTTTTATAAATTCATATGATGTGATTTTCTGGAATTTTCTTTGGGATTCTGTCTTTCACTGTTAGAATATACATATGATTAAAGTTATAGATCATTGCATTCTTTGTAAAAACGCTAAGAATGAAGCTTAAAATAAGGAAAAAGCAGCTTGTAACGTGCAGAAAGTGGCACTTCTAACATTTTTCCTTTTTTTCTCATTGTAAAACAGATGTTTAGTGGTAATGTGTGTGTTTTTAATGTGTTGCAGTCGGGCTTTAACAGAGCTCTGAGGCAGCTGGACCAGAGCCCCGTCTACTCCTACATCATCGCAGGAGGAGACAGGTGCGTGTTTGGCTCCAATATCCATCACAGGAAGGTTTTTTTTGCTTAAAATCTTTCTTAAAAGCTGTAATTTAAAGCCAGTTTCTTAAATAACATCTGATATAAAAAGGGAGAACTCCACACAAAAGCTGATTAAAATTAAACTCCCTTCTGACTGTTAGCAGATAATAAACATTTGAATCTCACAAATTTATCCCAGGTCTGTGAAATTAATCAATTTATACTTGATAGCTACCTGATTTAATTGCTGTCAGAAAGCGACCCAAAAGACGACTAAATTCGGATGTTTTTTTAAAGATGCTTTTGCTTTTAAGCCCTTTGCTGGTCTGATTTCAGCACATTTTTTTGTATTTTTGCATTTTTTTTTGTCCAATCCTCTAAACGTTCTATTTATATCTGCTCAGTTTGGGACTTTCTCCGAATCAAATAACGTTTCATGGAGAATTTAGGATGACAGCATCTGGAATAATGCCAGTGAAGCACCTTCCTGCACAGACTTTGGCACCTGCAGAGGAGTTTGATCCTCCCGTGTCCCCCATTTCCTGCAGGGCTCTGCTGTCCTCCCAGGAGGCCCCAGAGGACGACCCCGAACTGGGCACGCTCAGTCTGAAGCAGGTGGGGCTCCTCCCAGGTTCTGCCTCACAAACGCTGCTATATAAGGTTTAGGTTCAAACACTGTAGTTCTTCAAAAGTGGAAAAGAAATGTAGTGGACACAGACTCTGAAGTACAAGCTTTTTGCAAAGATGGAGGAGCTCTGCAGCCTTCCCCTCTTGGCTTTTTATTAGACTGGACAAACAAGGCATATCTTATCTTTGGACATATTTTGTAAAAAAGAGTGTCATATCTCACATCCTCAGTGGAGCCCAACAAGCACAGCTACGCTTTGTTTTCCTTTTTTGATGTACATCTTTAAACTTATTACCTTCCGTAAAGTTAGAAAAGAGTAAATGGAAACATCATGCACATCGCTTGTTAACCCTTTAAAGCCTGATCCAAGAAAATTAGGAAGAATATTGGATTTTTTTAGTCTGAAGACTTTCTTTGGCTCCTCAACAACACATGAAGAAAAAAACTGAAATTATTTTGATCAATATTTGATGCAATAAGTCAAAAATGTATTTTGGTGTAGTCTTCTACTGGCTGTTATCAGGTATATCTGAATGTGTACAACAGGGGTTTGAGCAAAGCTTTTACCTCTGAATGATGCAAAAAGTCTCAGATCCAAAAGACTTCAGAAACCGTTTGTATCAAATATGATACGTTTAGCATTATAGGGTTAAAGGTTAGCAGACAAAAATATTTACAGCATTTAAAGGTAAAGGCATTTTTACTTACAGTTTTATATGACTTTATCAATAATTTGAGTAAAGCTGACCGGCCCTGTTTTCTTCAGGCCTGTGAGGGGAAGAGGAGGGTCCTGTTCATCGGCATTTCTTGTGGATTATCTGTAAGTGCGTTCAGGACATGAACAGATCAGAAAACACCTGTAACAAGTCTTTTATTTAGGCTTTAACGAGTCTCCTTTCTGTCCCCGGAGGCTCCGTTTGTGGCCGCTCAGCTGGACTTCTGCCTGCAGCATCCAGAGGTTTTCACCCCGGTGCTGGTGGGCTTTAACCCCGCCCACCAGGCCAGGTGAGCCCAGCACACACCTGCCCCGTTAGCCTGCGCATGCTAACCCTGAACCCCCCCCCCCCCCCCCCCCCCCCCCCCCCCCC